TACCACATCACTTGTGTTAAAGGCTGTTTACGATAAGTGAGCACTTTTGAAATCAACCTTAGAAAAATATCACTGTCCGTGCCTGCATATATTTTAACTATCACACTGAGTAATATGCGCCCAGTAAAGTTGGTAACGATGGAAAGGAAGTAGTTCCGTATCTTAACGTCAAAAAAAAAAAGTAAGGTAACCATTTGTGATAACTTTAATTAATTCTTTCATTTTATATTTTTTTTTCATGAATCGAAAAGTAAAAATTAACAGATTTATAAAATATTTACTTTTCTAATAATTTCATGGCTTCACATGACCGACGCATGAATAAAGTGATGAGGCCCATGACAATGTTAATATTACATAAGGCGGAAGAATACACAACGTACATGTAAGTAGAGCTTAAACAAGGCTTTCAAAATTGGCCATTTTACCATGAATAGCCTGTAACACAAAAGTACCTTATTTTTTCTTAAATTTTACTTTTTCTTATACTCTATTTGCAAATTATAATATTTTATTTATTATTTTTATGCACAAAACAGAAAAACTATTGTGTTGGTAATGCCAAGTAAGAAATAGCTCTTATGCGAAGTATTAGTAAACCGAGAGCGCACGAATGCGGTGTTTTGTGGCTTTCGTGTAGTTCCCTAGACTTGGTTAAAGTATTGTTTACATAAGGTGGAAGACTATCGTGGAAGTATAACTTTAGCAGGCCTTCAGGAAAGTTGGAAGCAACAGTAAAATGACTATAATGGAAATCACAAAAGATGTTTCAGACGTTGGCGCTCACTGTCGTTGCTATGCTTTGTGCTTGCAATCGTGGTACCACTGATAGGTGTGCCTAGCTTCAGTACTATGGTAGTACATGTTCACGGCCCCTGCGTGTCTCGGCTGCCTGCAATGCAGCTCGGGTGTGTCGTTTCCGTCTCGCACTACATTTCATACGGGCCGATTTATAATACTGAATGTGTCAATACCTGCAATATGGGACTTAAGCACCTGTGTATGGTAACAAGTATATCAAAATCAAACCATCTTGGAAGTACTCTTCCACTTTAATTTATTTAACACTGCAATTACATACAATTTGCAATGATCCAAATCCAGATACAGAGGTCTATTTAAGGTCTTTCTGCTACTGACGCCCATATATATAGTCTGTTCGCAGTTACTACAAATTTTGGAATCAAACCTTTTAAAAAAACACTCCATGTATAATGTGTTCAGTTATTTCCTAAATAGGCCTATGTCATGTATCACAAGCGTTTTATACTTGTGTTTACATAAAAGTACCTTATTTTTGACGTGACTGCATCTTCAAATTTGTAACCATAGTGAGAGGTAATCCAGAAAATCTGATGATAACGAAATCGGGGGATGCAGTTTGGAATTGCAGCTCCGAATCTATAGTCTACATTCAAAATAAAATTACACCACTCGATTGCCAAAGGATCAAAGAATAGGTTACGTTGAGTGAGGACTGCGAAGCATCACGCACGTTGAGCCGGGGGGGGGGGGGGAGTGCGCAATTTTGAGTTATTTTCGCCACGTCTCATAACTTCCGAGTAGTATAACTTTTGACTAATAGAATCTACGACGCTCGTTTGAGTTTCAATCGACAGCTCTCGTCAAGATCAATAGACCGGGTGTATAAAAACTTTTGTGTAGCGTGGTCATGGTGAAATTGTATGCGTTTATTGTAAAAAATTAAGAAAACTTAACACAATTTCGGCCTATACTCGTTAAAAAGTCAAATCGAAATACAGACATCGTATACGGTTGGAAAGATTATCTCAAATGGAATCCAGTGAAACCCATAAAACCCCATATTATCGTGCGAAGCGGCGCCGGGAACGTAAAATAAGATTCAAGGTCTCCGAACGCGTCAACGTGGACGTATTCACGCAAAACAAACGGCCGTGTCCCCAACACAGCCGCACCCCATTTTGTTGATAAATTGAAATTCTACTTTAGCGGGACTTCAGATAAGACGGAAGTAACTGTGAATGGAGTACAGCTCATGCGGAATACTGACTGTATACACAGCGTGTAAGGGAGCATCATTCTGCGTGAGTTGTGGGCTTATTTTTTTGCGCACCACGTGCGATTGTGGCCTTATGGGTTTCACCCCGCCGCTTGTCTTCTACAACATGCACCAACAAACTGCACATAATAATAGACAGAGATTGGGTATGTTTCTCCCGTGTACTCTTATATTTACACTTCCGTATTTGTTCCCAGTGGTTATACCCAAGAAAAAGTACCGAACAATTCAACAAAAAAATATACTTCAAATTTACAAAATGCTTGATGATTATTGCGGAGGAAATGATGAGATTGCTAACGAAATTATTTTTTGCATGGCTTGAAAAAATTTTAAACATAATTCTGATTTTTTATGCCTTCAGCACTATGCTCGTAATTTTGCAGGCCGTGCTGGCGTAATGTGAGAACTTAAGTATTTTCTGCAAATATTGCAAGTGATTATTTGTTGGCCGGTTCTGGAAGTGCCATGTTCATTACTTTAAAAATTATAATTTTTATCTTAATTTTTTTAAGTAATCGACTAAATTAACATGTGTTCAGTCTACACGCGAAATGTAATTTTTTTTTAATTTATGCCAAAAAAAGGGGATAACAATGTGCAATACCTTTCGTTTTCGAAGTTAGTTTTAAAAAAAAGCTATTAGAAACGCTAATGCGTTCAGAAAGAGGGTTTATCGATACGAAGATTGTCTGAGCAAACGTTTCACCTCGAATGCTGCTGATTTTCGGTCGTCTTTTTATTTTATTCTGATACAGTTGAAAATGATTGTTACTGTTACATTACATACTAGAGGAATTCCAGTCCAAATTAGAAGCAGTAATAAGAGTTTGTTAAAAATTCAATTACGAAATAAAACTTTAATCTGCTCATATTGGTCACGAAAGTATGGTTCTGTAGGTATTGTTGAATTGAATTCATTGCTTTTTTTCAAAATTTACACGTTTTAGCTCTCATTGTATATTTTGATTTGAAGGCGGATAGAAAAAATAATTTCCAGCAACAGTAAAGATAGACAAATTAGATCAAATGTATATCAATGTTCTAATAAGTACTTTGCCTGGAAAACAGCTTAGTGAATATTACAGTATGAATTTTGAAAGAAAAGTTATTTGTATTTCTAGAGGTTTTAGTGGACTTGTGAAGCAAGTGGTAAATTTTCGTAAAATTAGAAAGACGCATTCACACACCACGTACATTTTTCGAATAGTACGCTTGGAATAAACTTTGTACATTACTGATTTTATTGCGCATTTTGCACGCCTTGTCATAATGAAATTTAAGGGCGACTTCAAAGTGGATGTGTCATTATAAAAGGCATCTTGTATGCAAGCAAGCGTACACAGGAATGTTTGACTGCGCGAATAAAAGATGAGTGGATAGCAGAACATCCATTGAAACTAGTTTTCAGAGCAAACACAATAAAACTCAATGTGTAACTTGATTTGAATTATAATGAAAGGTTGGCGAATTTTTTTCAGGGGTATCTGATAAAACACTCGAAATCTTAACGAGTAATTTGATTCAAATGACATTTGCAGTGACAATTATGTTATTTATGTCTTGACACTGTAATAGGTAATAGAGGCACCAGTGAAACGCAGTGACAGTAATATATTAAAAATCCGGTAGATCAATTGTTCGTCTTCTGTGCATGCGCCCAACACTGACCTACCCTACACTATTACAGCTGTCAAAGTCACGTGGCCAACACCGATTTACGTAAATATTTATAGCTTAATTTTCAAAATATATACTCTTTTATATTGATATACTTTTACGAGCCAGAGTTCAATATGATTTCATTAAACATTGGTTAGAGTAGGTGTAGAGATATCTCAAATCACTTGTTTAATAAGCAATGTTCTAACCTCAAATCCCATCCACGTAATTTTTGATAGTTGTCGTCTTGGCAGAACATCAGTCTAATGCTGGACAACATGAGAGTTGCCACTTCGTCAACTATCTATCTTGTATCCTAGGTTTACAGTATTATTGCGCAGTCGAAACTGCAAGAGCACTTGTTCGCTGACTACTATGTTGATCTAGAAGGGCCTGTTATGTTGGGATACTTGCATGTTGAAAATATGTTCGACGGTAGGAGTGTAGATAACTGATTTTCCTAATGTTTGTTAATGGAGTTTTGTAATTAGCGTATGTTGAGAAACAGGTGGTTTTTAAACATTTAAAAACGAATGTGATTAATTACATTTTTTTTGCTAAACGTGCCAAAGTAAACCACCTTTTAATATATACAGATTTAAAAAATACGCGGAAATATTTTTCTTTTTCGTAGCACTAATTTTACAAGCGTTTACATCTGTGGGTGGTGTCCTACAAACTTTTTTTTGTACCGTGGTAGGTCAGCGAAATTTGCAGAACACAACCCTGCAGTGACAAATATATATTTGGGAAATTAAAACTCAGTTACCTTAGTTATTTGAAGCCACGCAAAGTGGATTTCTCCACGCGTTGTTGGTCATAAATGACTTCCGGATAAGTGGATGCTTAGTTGGTGGACTTACATGTCGTTAAAACAGAAAAAACAGACTGGAATTTTAGTATTTTATGAGTGGTTTAATCAGTTTCAGAATTATTGCATCTACTTTATTTGCCGTGCTCCTGATTCAACTTTTGTGAATGTACAAATTTGGCAAGTCTATAAAAATATTTTTGATTATGTAAAAATATACGTATCATAATACAATCGGTTCATTTTACATCAAAGACAATATAATTAGATCGTGTGTCCAGTTGTGAATTAAATCAATTTAAAAAGGCGATACTGTTCTAGCTAATTGCGATTTTCAACTGATTAAAATGTAGCTTTTTTTTTTGTTTTAAATATAAATGACGACAGGGAGGATAGCCGAAAACTCACTTCCGTGGCAGTAGCGCAAGCTAGCATCTATTGGAGTGTTTCATGTGACAACAGAACATTAAGGCAATTTAGACATCAGACCTCGTGGCCTAATGGATAAGGCGCCAGACTTCAGATCCGAAGATTGCCAGTTCGAATCCTGTCGCGGTCGCGAGTTTCACTTTAATTATTTACAACGTCCAGTGGGTAATGCGTAGATGCTCAGGAAAGGCAACCGTTTCCTCCCACAGCCCCTTGCTACGCTTTAGAGCAGTGGAAATCACGTGTCAATCTGTGAAATTGGGTCAATGAAGAAACCAACAAGCTTTCACCTTCTTCCCTGGCTCAGCTTTCTCTGGCTTGGGCTTGATTACACGGATTACCTTTCATTCGGATTTGAACTGTTATAAAAAGTATGCCAAGTATGAAACTGAAGTGTTCGTTGTTGGTAACTTTTTACTCAATCCCTACAAAACACATGCGTTTTAAAACTGATTCTTTGCCTCACCAGTAGCTCTTTGTGGATATACTTGTCATAGTCTTCGATTTAAAGATCATTAACTTCTTACGGAAAATAAGGGATTTAAACCACAAAAGAATTAATTATGCCAAAACAATTGCCTTAAAATTGAAGAAATGAGGTTACCTACAATTTTAGGATTTTGAAATGTGTACAGTATATTGCCAAATTACATTTTTAAACAAAGTTTCTAACAGGATCATTTAAGAAAACCAATTTGGTTAAAATTAAGAAGAGGTTTTTTTTTTATTTTGTTACTATATCACACAAAATTAAATTTTATAAATTTTAAAGCATTTTTTTTTGCATTCGTATTGACTTTCTCATTTTTGCATGTTGAAAACAGTAATCGATTTCAAATTTCAATGTTGGTTTCCGTATTTTTGGACTTTATAATGTTTTTGATGTATGCCTGAAATGATGTACCCCAGAGTTGTAAGTATTCCATGGTTTCTCGAAAAGGTATTTCTGTAAGGAATTCCTCCAATGATGATACGTAATATTTTTGATGGCTTCAAATAGTGTGTTTACCATGGTTTTGCGGTGAATATGAAATTTCTCTGAGTACAGGCGTTGCTCTGTTTTGTTTTACTTCCACGCGTCTGCATGGTCTACGTCGTCGTTGGCGTCATTTGGCGGTGCAGATTCGAAGAAATAAGAAATGGTTCCCCAAAGTTCTAAGTTGAAGCCAAACTGGAGGAGGTTGTTGAGATTGTGGTGAAGCTTCTGTAGCTTTATGCAGTGGAATGTGAAGGTGGTGTAGAATTGGGGTGATAGTTCTTGTGGCGTTATTGGATGCTGTGGGGAATATAAAGTGGTTGTGGCTGTGCAATGGGAGAAGAATGGGCATTTTTCTTTTTGCTTTTTTTTGTTGCAAAAGGATTCGCCAGTGTCTACTTCTATGCTTATTGTATATTATTCCGCAATATGTAAAATTAACATTGACATGGACCTGATCACTTTACTCACGCGTGGGTCAAGAACAACGGTGGAACTGTTGGAAATGTCAATATATTGCAATGCAAATATGCTAATTTATATATTTATGCGCATAAAACCCAAAGCAAAAAAAAATCCTTTTACAATTGAGTAATGTTCAACTGACAATCTTCATCCGAAGTTTAAACATTGAACTACTCTCCTTCTGTAGTGTGCTTGATAAAATACATGCTTATAGGAACAGTGACATTATTTACTTTCTTTGTAACTTCGGCGAAATTATTTGTAAACATAGCTATCAGTTGCGTGCAGAACTAAAATATACGACTGTAGCAAGCTTTGCTACAGACTTTTATCTGCCAGTCAAATCTTATTATCGTTGCGCGAAGCCCTTTGAACGCATTTGCAGAAAACAATATCTGTAAGCTACATCATTGTACATGTGTGATAATCTTTATGCGTGCCAGCCAACATCTGTCTAAGCATTCCAGTTATTCTGTTTTTCACACAAACGTCCAGGCGGAGAGTATCTGTATGTCATCCGCCATTATGGACTAACATTTATACGTTTATGAGCTACACTGGCAAACAAGTGTTCGTGTCCGAATTCAGGTACGTACTTGTGTACTTTCACACTTGAATACTTCATTCACCCTCCGGTTCGAAATTGACGGATTCGAATAGCTATGATTTTGAATTTCGGTAAACTCTACTACACAATTAATTAAATTCATAACATTAAATGAATAAAAATATATTATTGCTAAACACCTGTGAACTTAATTGTTTTGCTAATAACCTAATAAAGTTTTTTTTAATGTGACAAAAACATACGAATGAAATACTGTAGTATTATTACAAATAACTGGTCACGATGTTGCTGTTAGTAAATGAATGTTAGTACATTTCAAATACTCATTAAATAGCCACTGATTAAGTACTTTATTTTTGTAAAGTTTATTCGCCTTGTAAATAGCCCCTTTTTCCATTTTTCAAACCCGTTTATTCACACGTAGGCTTAAATAGATAGACTAATTTTAAGTTTAATTTTATTGGTTATCAAAACTATACAATACAATAATGAACAAAGGTATCAATTCAATTATTCACGTGTTTCGTACAATAGGTACCTTATACTTTTAAACAAACTTGATAACTATCATATTTTTCAAAAAATGCAATTTTTTTTTTTTAATTGATCATAACTTGTAATTTGATACTCGAAATGGCGGTGCATGTGGGCCGAAATGGCGCCAGAAGTACGCATGTACGTTTGCTTACTTGCGTACTTCACCAGGAATTCAGACACCCTGGTTAAATCACTTCCGGAGACACGTACGCACTTCAAATAGATTGGGGGACGACCTAAGCACGACGCTGCCAAGGCTATCAAACGTAGAGGGAATGCGGCGTAGAGTTCACATGCATGCCGCGCAGTAGTTGCCATCTGTTTCCCAGCATTCGACTGCTTTCCTCCCAACGAAAATACTAACAAAAACAACGCGGGGACAGTATCTGAGGTTAGAGCAACGTTCACATGAGCAAACACGTTGAGATTGAGATGTTTCTGCACTTACTCTAACCTTGTTTCAGCGTAAATTATAATATCTTCAAGCTGGTCATGGTATTTCGTTCATGTAAAAGGGCGGGTATGTTGAAAATTCTAAATGTAAACATACACGTTTCTAACTACTGGCCCTGGCCACGTGGATTTGATAGTAGTAATGGGAAGAGGGGGGAGGGGGAGTCAATGTTTGGGATATACACAGTGAACGCAAATCAGTCCACCGTATCTATTGTGTGCGGTAAAGGTTGTTCACGATAAAGTGAGCACTTTTGAAATCAACCTCAGAAAAATTCACAGCCCCTACCTGCACATATTTTAACGGGCGCGCCGTGTGACATGCGCCAAGAAAAGTTGGCAACGAAGGATTGAAAGTGGTTCCATAACTTAACGTCGAATAAAAAGTGTTAACCTACATTTCTTTCTCTTTCTGTTTTTTAAATGCATCGAAGTGTAAAATTAAGTATATTTGTAAAATATTTACTTTTATAATATTTTACATTTTCTCTTCACCGACGCATGAATAAAGTAACGAGGAACATGGAAATGTTAATTTTAATTACACAACGTGCTAGATCTTAAGCAGAACTTTCAAAAGTGCTCATTTTACAGTGAACAGTCTATATCAACTCCACATTGCCTCTCCGTTAGTGTGTTGTACTGAACTAGCATACTGTCATTCCCTCATAAAACATGCAGTTATTGGACTAATAACGTAGGCCAATTAAATTCAGGTTCACTTATACTCATTCGTTGTCTTTCTAAAAGTAACAGTTACATGATAACCTTCTTGCTAGATTTCCAATCTCTAAGCAGCAAAAGTGAAAATTGTGCACAGCCATGCCGCCGTCGGACAATATTCTTCAAGTATCCCGCGTTGAGAATACACACCGACACTGGATGGCCAAGCCGGTGGAATGTCGTTTTTACCCTGGCGCTACGTTGCCCCGAAAAACTGCTTCTTCCCACACCATAGGAAACTTGAATAGATACCGTGAGCACGGCGGCTATGCAAGTTCACGCAAACTGATTGTCCTATTGGCAGCGCCCTCGTCCCTCATTTCTTTTTCTTTTCGGACTCTGGGCAGACGACGGACGATTTATTACGCGTGCACTTGATAAATATACTTCCTGCCAACTCCCGCAACCCGCACGACACATTGAAAGCAGTAGTTTTCGTCGAAATGATTCTCCAGCCATAAAATATCAAACACTGCGTTGCCGACGTAATATAAGCTCTCCTGAATTTAACTGAGTTGTATGGAGTATGCCGTTAGCATTGCGGCATCCGCATTCTTTGAAGACACGGGCGAAGAAATATTGCTTCGCCGGAACTTTTTATATGGTTCTCTGCAACGTAATATCAAGTCAGAGACTTTCAAAGTGCACGTTACTCAAATAAATAGTATTGATTATATAGGCTATTCACGATTAATAGAGTAACCTTAGAAAAATACCACTGACTCTTCCTGCATATGCTATTTTTAATGCAGGAGCACTGGCTAGCAAGCGCCCAGTAAAGTTGGTAACGACGGAGAGAAAATAGTTCAATGCCAAGTCACATCAAAAATGTACGGTAGAGAATTTATTTAAAAACAGAACGCAAACGAAACAGTTTCAATATTCACTTTATTAATACGTCGGTCAGGTGAAATTGTGAAATAATTCTGACACTTATGTACATTAAATTAAGAGTGGCCGAGCCCTTGACAATGTTAATTTTACATAAGGCGGAGGAATACACAACGTGCATACAAGTAGATCTTTAGCAGGGCTTTCAAAAGTGCTCATTTTACCGTGAACAGCCTATATTTTGCCTTCAGACGTTATACGCCTCTCAAATTAAATGTGTGTTTTTCGTAGGCATGCTATTGAATTACACTTTGCCTAAACGGGCGAAACTGAAGTCATAAAACATAGGCTAAGGTCATTAAGCGGGTAATTTTAGCTTTCAGGTACCGTTCTTAAGACGTATCTCTATATTATTTCAGCATATAAGCCCAGCCCCCGGATTAGTAAACGAGTACACATTAGAAGCACTTACATGCCATATAAACCTAAACAGTTTTCGCAAGAACGGAGCTTTTTTAGTGCTATACCTATCAAGGTTTTGAACGGCAAGGATAAAGGGACACCCTAATTACTATAG